ATATATATTTATATATATCTCTCTCACCTCTCAAACTGCGGCCTCTTGCCCATGTTCTCCCTCACATACTCCACCAGCTGTTTCTGAGTCTTCCCACTGTACCTGGGGACAACACGAGGAACATACACGCTGCGTTATTTGTGGCTTGTTCTAGTAAGGTTTTATGGCGCTCGCAACTGCATAAGGGGAGATAAGGACGATAGATGTTTGATAGGAAAAAAGGAGCAAACCACACTTGAGGACCCGCCAATCACCCACTAAAGAGAAAAGAAGGAGCAAACTACACTTACTAGTATAAATAAGACACAAAGACGATAGAATAATGTTCGAAATGATATAAAAGTAGAAGAACATATCGCAACCTCAGTGCTTTTTTGTCCGATCTCCATTTTTTAAAAACAGTGAAAACAGTTCATAACAAAGAAAATCACATTTTCAATGCTTAAAAAAATGGAGATAGGACCAGAAAGCACTGAGGTCGCGATAGATCAGAGAGGAGAGGATCAAACCACACTGGAGAAAAAAAAGACACAAAAATGATAGAATTACGTTCAAAATAGATAAAACTAGCACACCATACGGGAGCAGATAGGAGAGAAGGAGCAAACCACACTAACTAGTAAAAAAAAAAAGACATAAAGACAACAAGATAATGTTCAAAACATACAAAACTAGCCGACCACACTAGAATACCGGCCAACCAACCAGCCATCCTACCAACCATTGATCAGTCAGTTCAGTAGTTACCTGAAGGAGGAGAGATAAGGACAGTAGAAGTTAGTTAGAAGAGAAGGAGCAAACCACACTTACTAGTTAGAAAGAAAAAAAAGAGAGAGAGACAAAGACGACAAAATAACGTTAGAAATATACAAAAGTAGCAGGCCACACTAGTACACCTACCAACCAACCAACCCTCCAGCGGTCGGTGGTTACCTTAAGGAGGAGATGTAATGTAAGGACAATAGAAATAAAACAGGAAAGAAGGAGCAAACCACACTTCTAGTAAAAAAAAAAAGACACAAAAAAACGTTAGAAAAATACAAAACTAGCCGACCACACGCGAACACCCGCCAACCAACCAACCGTCCAGCGGTCAGTAATTACCAGAAGGAGGAGAGATAAGGACAGTGGAAGTTAGAGTAGTAGACAGGAGAGAAGGAGCAAACCACACTTACTAGTGAAAAAAAAAAGAGACAAAGAGGACAAAATAATGTTCGAAAAATACAAAAACAGCCGACTGCATGGGAACACCAATCAACCAGGAACCAACCGTACATCGGTCAGTCCAGTAGTTACCTGAAGGAGGAGAGATAAGGACAGTGGAAGTTAAGAGTAGTTAGGCAGGAGAGAAGGAGCAAACTACACTTACTAGTTCTTTAAAAAGTAAAAAGTTTTTTAAATAGTTTTAGTAAGAGTTTTACGGCACTTGCAACACAATAATGTCATGTAAGAAAAGACAACAAAATGATGTCGAAATATACAAAAGAAGCCGACCACACCAGAACACCAACCAACCAACCATCATCCACCGTCCGTGGGTCAGTCCAGTAGTTACCTGAAGGAGGATCCCCGACTGACCACCCTGGTCTTGTTGCGCGGCATTTTGGCCACCACCTGGCAGCGGAAGAAGGCGTGGTGCTCGATACAGCGCTTCCAGAACAGCTTGCAGCGGTCGCGCGTCTCGAAGAAAAACTCCACTGTGTCCTTGTAGTAACCCTGGTTGGAGGGGAGAGGAGAGAGAGCACAAAGGCAGAGCCGCCGTTACTAAAGGTTCTCAGGGTTAGTTGGTGAGGTTTTTACGGCGCTTGTGACATGATTAGGTCATAATATATGTCATATATAAGTGCTGTAGATGGTACCTTCACCGTCACAACGGGTTCTCAGTACTTGTTGGTGGGGGTTTCACAGCACTTGCGACACAATTAGGTCATAATACAAATGCTGCGGATTAAATCTTCCCAATCACAACAGGTTCAGCGTTTGTTGGTGCGAGTTTTACAGCACTTGCGATACTATTAGGTCATAATAGAAGTGCTGTAAATTAGAGGTGTTTCTAGAAAGTACAGCGGGTGCCCCATTCAACGAGGTCACATTCAAGGAGAAGTCGGTTCCAACGAGGCAATCCTTAATCCCTGATTTTTTTCCTCTATATATCTTTGTAAATGAACGTCAGCTCCAATGAGGTTGCAAACAGATAGAAGTCGCTTTCAACGAGGTCGTGATAACCAAATAAAAGCAATTAGCAGCCCCAAAAGCGAAGAATTGTTCTCCTTTCTCTCCATCTCCCGCGAAGCACAAGGCCCATCCTTGATTCCTAACACACTGTATTGCTAGATCTAGTGTGCCTCCTAATGGGCCCCAAAGTCAAGAGAATGGGTGAGGGTTAGCCTCCGGTAGGGATGAGAGGGGGTGGGTAGGAACAGGGTAGATGCATGCTGTGTGAAACTGGATGAACTCTGGATGGGTAGGTCTAGATCAAGACTTATTTTTTTCAATTTTCTTTTTCTTCCCCTGATCAGAAAATCAAGCTCCCGCCTATACTTTATGTAGATCTAAGCCTAGATGAGAGAGGGTTATGTTTCCACACGAGAAGTGTTCCAGGAAAAAAATAATTTTTAATGCAGAAATGATGGTCAGAACACAGCTCAAAAACGCGGACACTGATGCTGTTTGAGATTTTCGTAATCAGGGGGAACAACTGTTTTAATTATTGGTATTGGTACATCCTATAATATAATAAGTTCTCTCCTTTCTTTACTTTAGCCTTAGTCACATTCAAAGAGAGGTCGGATCCAACGAGGACAACAAACCAGTCCCGGCAACCTCATTGAATGCGACACCCACTGTAACAGGTTCAATTTCGGCAAGACTTTTACAGCACTCGCAACACAAATACGTCAGATACATAATAATAAGTGCCAAGACTTACATCTTTGCAGTGAGAACTGATCTAGTGTTTGTAAGAAGTTTTAAGGCACTTGCAACGCAAATAGGTCATAATATAGGTACCGTCGATTAGAAGCGCTGCTAGAAGGTAATAGGTTCCGTTTTGGTCAGAGTTTTACGGCCCTTGCATATACGAATAAGTCGTAAAAAGGCTGAATACTCGAACCTTGGACAAATCATGCTACAGCTGTGCCTCCATACAATAAGCAACTATGCAGCAAAGCAATCTACATAAAGGTAGCAAATGTCAAAAAGCAAACTTTAAAACATAACGTTAAAATTTTTAAAAAAAATTTAATTAAAATGTATGCCGAAAAGAAACAAAAGTAAGAGAGTCATGCTGAGTTCTAAATGTTTGTTTGAGTCCAAGACATTGAGATAAAACACAGCAGCACATGCCAACTCAGCGTGCGTACCCACACACACAAACAACACACACAACACAACATTTTGGGCTGCCTCGTCTGGTCGCATGTCCAACAAACCAGAAATGACCCGATTTTGAGCGATGTATATTTAAAAATGTTTGTTGTTTGTTTTGGGGTTGTTGTTTTTGTTGTTTTTAGAAGGGTTTTTTTTCGGAGGGAGGGGGTTGTTATGGAGATGGCAGTAAATTCGGTGCATTTGTGTTGGGCGTGTGTGTCCACCAGCGTGGAGGTAACTGTGACGTCACAGTGACATTTCTCGGTATCCGACTATAAATAGTCAAGGGGTCAAAGAAAGTGAGACGAGAATTTTTTTAATGACTTTTTTTTTGCAAGTGTGTGTGTGTTTTGTTTTGTTTGCACATGGATTTTGCTAACTTTCAGGCACCGCTTACGAATATGACAATAGATATTTCATCCAATCTGAAAGCTATGTACATTTTTTTTATCCCTGACTGGGCCTATGACTGGTAAGTCACCATAGGGCGCAAAGAAAATTAACATTCAAACCGACACGTCTTTTGTAGCAAAGAGTCGTGTCATTTCCGTGGACACGTCTACACACGGATGTCTCACCGAACTTCCCGGGAGATGAACGACAAACGGTCTGTCGGTTTCTGGTTTGGTGGACACGCAGGCTGGCTCCGACAACTGACCAATCACCATGCTTTGACACACACTGAGAATATCATGCCTGAGTTCACACATAAATCACCATGCACACCTACACCGTAAAGTCTAGTAAGTTGGGTGGAAGAGATGTTCTTCCCATGATCACAAAATTTAGAGAGAGAGAGAGAGAGAG